CTGGCTGAGTCTGCTTGGGATTCTCTCTCCCTCTCCTTCTGCCCCTCCCCCCGATCACTCTCTCTCTAATAAATCTTAAAAAAAAAAAAAAAATGAATGACAAAGCGGAAAAATATTTTCAATTTATTCCACAAAGAACAAATCTCCCTACTACACAAAGAACTCCTAGAAATTAATAAAATAACCAAAGAAAAGAAAAAAAAAGAAAGAAAACTGCAGCAAAGGTTAGAAACAGCTCACAGAAGAGGAAAAACAAGTGACTCAAATATAAAGGTGCTCAATCTCACTCATTAGAAAAATGCAAATTAAACCTATACTCATGTACCGTGTTTTATCCTTCAGAATGCCCAAACTCTCAAAGTTTTATTTTGTGTTGGCAATGTTGGGAGGAAATAGCATTCTCCTTCATTACTGCTGGATATGCAAAACGGTACAATCTTTATGGACAACAATTTGACAATAGCTATTACAATTACAAATGCCTCTTCCTTTTGAACCACCAATTTCATTTCTCGAAATTTAATGTACACATACTCTGTTCATATACGAAATGATACTTGCGCACAGGTATTCAGTGCAGCATTATCTGTAACAGCAAAAGACTGGAAATGACCAAACGTCCATCAATAAAAAAGACTTGCTAAAGAAAGTGTGGTTCTTCTGTACAGGGCACATACACAGCTGTAAGAAATGATAAACTCTCTGTACTGGTAGGAGAATATGATCTCCTAGACACATCGTTCATTGAAAACGGCAAGGTGCAAAATAACCTGATACTCTTTCCATGAAAGGGGGGGGATAAAGAATATACATTTGTGTTTGCATATACACACACACTTTGGAAAGACAGAGGAGAAATTGACAGTAATTACTGAGATTATTGGATGGATATGGGAACCGGGCTTTTTTTTTTTTTTTTAAAGTTTTATTTATTTGAAAGAGAGAGCACGAGCAGGGGTTGGAGCAGAGGGAGAGAGGGCGAAGTAGGCTTCCCGCTGAGCAGGGAGCCCGACTCCAGGCTTCATCCCAGGACTGTGAGAACATGACCCGAGCTGAAGGCAGACGCTTAACCCACTGAGCCACCCAGGCGTGCCTGGGCTTTGCATGTTATGCCAGTGGTAGAGTCTGCCACTCTCTTCTTCCTTGAGTAATAGATCTTTCTGATTGTAGCTCGTCACACAGTCACCTCGTTAAGGACCACAAATACCAGACCTTCTTGCTGCCAGGCGTGGCTAGGAATGAAGAACTGGCCAATCGGATGTAAGGAGAAGGGATGTGTTTAACTTGGGGCCTGCCTGTGTTTTTCCTTTGCCTGCGAGTACAGGACCTGGTAACGGTGGGTCGGCTTCTACCATGCGGGCGAGGACAATACTCTAGGAGACAGGAACATTCAGGACAGAAAGACTTGGGTGCCAGGACGACCCAGCAGAACAGAGACATCTACCCCCCCGGGACAGTGTGCCCCCCCACCCCCGGGACTGTTGTGCTAGAAAAGCCATACGTCTGTCTCCTTTGAGTCACTGTATCTTGGGTCTCTTGGTTGCCGCGGCTAAAGCAGAAGACGCTACCTAGAAATGAGTTACCCCGTATCAGAGAAGCATCGTGGCCTTTGGCTCAGCAGCTGGCAAGGGAAGGGGGTGAGAAGAGGTGTTGCAGCCCAGAAAGCTGGGAGCCCTTGTTACACTGTTGCCAAAACTTGCTAGAACTTCAGTAACTTGGAAGACAGGCCCTGCGTCCCCCGAACTTGTAACTTCAGGGGAAACAGAAATAACATGTTGGTTGCTCCTGATCTCCAGGGAGCCACTACAAGAGGAAGATGCCAACAGGCAAGAACTGGCTGGTTTGCAAGCCGAAATGGAACAGAATGCAGCCGAAGGGCAGTGTGTTCTGAGTTCTGCAATATAAATTCAGACTCCCAACTGTTTGGGGATCCCACAGGACTGGGAAAGCCAACTGCTTTTGTACCCCAAAAGCAGGAGATAAGAATTTCTCTCAAAGCTTCTATGAAAGTCTCCAGTTAAGAGTGGAGTCACGGGAGTCGCACCCATTTGCAAAGATCAGATTTACGGTGCAGCCTCGGGGTGGTTGCCATTAAAATGAGGAAGAGATGGATAGGCCAAGAACAGACACCAGTAACTAGTAAGTAGTCCAGTGATTTAAAAACTAAGACTCAAAAGAAATCTTTGGCAGTGGATACTTTTATCTGGAACTGACTGGAAGCAAACAGACCAGAAGCCTATTTAGTTTCTGAGGGACCTGTATTGTCACACAGAAATCCTGGATTTTAGACCAGAAGCATTAAATGGATGAGCCTCTTATGAGGTCTCTCTTGGGATTGGAGGAATGTTCTCTAATGTGGGAAGAAAAGTGGACATGGGTATCTGAATAGTCAGAGGAGGCAAACTGAAGCAGGGGCTGCTAATTTTGCCCCCAAATCCATCTGTCCCTTTTTCCTGTTTGCAACAGAACCACCCAATTTTTAACTGATCACAGGATCACCAACCTAGAGACTACTTCTTCCAGTCTCCTTTGCTGTTAGGTGTGTCTTTGTGATGGAGAACTTGACAATGGTATGTGAGAAGTGATGATACAACTTCAGGGGCTCTCCCTCTTCCCTCTGCGCTAGATGCAAACAGTAGTGGTGAGCAGCTTTGAACACCGGAGAACATCTTAGAATACAAACTTCACTCTTAGGATATGGTAGAACAATCCAAGTGAAAAAGTGTGGGTCCCTAAACAATTGTAGGGAATAACAGGCTTCCCACCTTGAGCACCTGCCCACCAGCAGACTATTACATCAGAAAGAATCTTCTATCTTATTTGAACCATTGTATTTTGGGGCCTCTGTGACTGCCATTTAGCTAGGACCTTAACTAATATAATGCCACCTTTTAATTTTTAACATTTGAGCCATGAGAAAATATTGTCTACTTGGGAAAATTAGTTTTTTTTTTTTCCAAAAGGAATAATAAGTTTTTAAAAAGTGTCAGGATCCCAATAAAAATGTTTTTTAACTCCATAATCTTACTTCTGAGACACAAAGCTGAGGAAATATTTCAAAAACAGAAAAAGAGATCTATATGAAAGTGTTCTCTGCAGTTCCAGAGTGCAGAGGAACAATTCAAAAAAAAATAGAAACATGCTAAATGCTCAACCACAGGGAACAATCAAGAAAACTTATGGCACAACTCTAGCATTACAGAGTTATTAAAGTAATCATCAACATGATAAATGCGGCAGGCGAGGCAGAGAAAACATTATGTATAACCAGTGCATAAAAGAAACAAATGGAACGGGAAAGTTGAATATTTTCTTACAGGTGGAAAGGTTCCTGAAATTAAAAATAAAAGACATATCTCTAGATCAAAAGGGACAAACTATCCCTGGAAAGAAAGTTCACTTTACGAGTAAAGAATCTACAGGGATCTAGAAATCAGAGGCTTCTCCAGACCATCAGTATCAGAAGACAGCAAAGCAATACTTACAGCATCCCGAAAGAAGGAAAGATTCCAGAACCTTCTACCTGCCCAGAGGAAAGGTGACAGACACATATGATTAAGGGCGCAAGACCTCAGGGAAGGCAGCACCCATGATCCTTTCATGGGGGACGGAATAAAGCGCTTGATGGCAAAACCCAACCAGCCAAGAAACAAATGCAATCAGGAGCTGGGGAACACAGCGAGCCACAGCCAAGCCGTGGCCATGGTGGTACACATGGAACCGAGACCAAAGAACGGTGGGAAGTAGGATTATAGAACTAAATACAGAATAGGTCTCACCATATGTAAGAACTGAGATGTGAACCAGGGCAGAGGAGCTGAGAGGTGGTAGATGAGATGGCCGACTGTGTCCACAATTGAAACACTGAAAACCACCAGTGACGCTTATGCTGAGAATATATATGTTATTTCTCAATAAAAGTAAGAATGACATCCTATCTTTGTGGTTTTCATCATCTTTTTCCTTAACTTTGAAGGAATATTTCAAGAAATAATGTACCTTATTGTAAAAAAATAAAATTCACTTGAAGTTTGACAATTCCTTCAGTTTCATTGTTCTTTTCCTCTGATCTCTATAAGGAAGATTAAATTCAACGTATTTCAAACTAGCCTGCTATGTGATAAAGTTAAATCCTCATAAAGCACTAATCCTATTTTTGTAAAACTATTTCTATTTTAGAATGGCATTCACTGAATAGTCACAATGGATAGCTTGGTGTTAAAATTTAGAAGGATTTTTTAAAAAAAACTCATTTGTACTTTTATATACATTTTAAATAATTAACCTTTTTACCCATAAACAAGTTTCATGTTCTTTCAAAGATGACCAAGAAAGACTGTTATATAAGAAAATTAAAATGATAAATTTTAAAAGTAGAGGGTATAAAAAACGTATGCAAGGGTATGATGCCACGTATATATATATTTTTTTGAAAGTATACACATACGTATACCAGAAAAGAGGCAAAATGTGCCAAAATTTTAATAACGCTTCAGGGGTTAGGGATAGATTTCTCTGTCAAAATCTGAAATGAAATTAGAGTAATAAAAAAATGTACACAGTCATGAACAGTTTTGCTGCTTCAGTCAAAAATTCCTTTCCAATTACCACAAGTAGTAAATAAAAACTCCAAATAATAAAGGATTAGGCTTAAGAAGAGTTTACAGTCTGTTTGCCTACCTGGGGCAAGGAGGTATTTCCTGCGGCTTAGGGTAAACAAAGATCATGTAACTGTCAACAGATTACGTCATTAAACAAAACTGATGACGGTGTTAACACAAGCAGAAGGCAAACCCACCCTGCTTTCCCTGCAGTGTGCAGAATCTTCAGGACAGAAACGCCACCCCCTGAGGCGTGAAATGTGGCCATGGAGGTTCGTGGAAGACCATCTGCCTTGCTGGCACACAGACTTCCTCTCAGAGAGCTCCTCACCACCGCCCCCCGCCCCCCGAATTGGCACATCCCCGTGGCCTCCCCGCACATGAATGCAAGCCACGTACCGAACCTGGTTCTCCAGGAAGTGCATGTACCGGTAAAGCAGGGTGTAGGACGGAGAGAGGATGCCCACAGACTTCATTCGGGCGCCGCGCTCCAGCTCACTCTCCACAGGCATGTTGGCGAAGCAGGCCAGGCCAAAGAACGGCCCCTTTCGGAAATAGCTAGAACGGATCCGATGCGTAGCACGGCTCACAATCAGAGAGAGACATTTTGTTCGGCTTTGTTTTTAATTTGAGATGCAGTCCGGAGGAAAACAAGTAACGGTGTCCAGGGCCTGAAGATGGATTTTTAGAACCACAGGGGAACACTGGTCCGGGCCACTCAACCCCACAGATGAGACAAACCGAGGCGCAAGGAGATTATGGGATGCGCCGAGGGGCAGCCCACGGGAGCCAGGACTTGACATTGGCAAGCCTGCTTGCTGCTCAGCCGCCCAGACCATGAACATATCCCTTCTCCTCTCCTGCAACACAACCCATGATAGGGAACCAAAACAAAGATTTCTCTTCAGACCCGCCTGGAATGGTACTGTTTTATGAGCGTAAACCACGTTGGTTTCTTCCCTCACTTCCTGAGTCCCTGATACTTTTAATAGGGTGAGGACCAGAGCTGTCACTTTATTCCTTCCCCTTTCTCACACTTGTCCTGGTGGCAGCCCAGTGAGAAGATTCAAGCTACCTCGTCTGGCCCTACCCTGATGTTCCAGCTGTCTGTCCTCCTCACACGGATCTTAATTACACAGCACTATAAACCGGCCTGACTTAAAGCGGGAATTTCAAGTTTTGGCACAAAAATGTCTTAAGGCAACCCAAACTGAACTGAAAGTCCATTCCTGCAATAAAGCCAAACCTCAAGCGAGGTCTAGTATTTTCCTAAAAGGGAGAGAACGAACCTCTGATAGTTAACTTTTAGGGGTCATGAAACCCATTGAGAACCTAATGAAAGCCAGGGACCTGCTTGCTAGAAAATGGATACAAACACAAAACTGCACGTATATTTCCAGGGCATTTCCACACACCTTTGGAAGCCTCCCTGAGGAGAGCCCTTATGCTCTAGGGAAAGTATGAGAGGAGAGGAAATGATACAGAGAAAATTTACATTCTGAAATACTTACATGAAGTCCGACTGAATTTTATGGGACCCACTGGCCATAGACTTGAACTCAACACCTTCAAGGTCAATATCTTGAGGTAGGCACCATTCCACCATGTTCCCTGCAGGGGGAAGGGAGGATACAAGTTCAAAGAAACAAAGTCATTCAAAGAGGAGGGCCTTGGGCAGGAGCTGAGGGCATATGGCTGCCCGATACACGTGCTGCTGACTCGGCCGCCAAGACGCTCCAGTGGGTCATCTCATCCACCACCTGCATGCTGGCTGAGTTCCCCGGTTACTCCAAAGTGCCAGGAGACCGGCCTTAAAGGAGCCTTCCATCTCCACCTTGAGATGAGCACAGTCTCCTGTCCAGCAAGGATATGGTCTTTGGTGATGTCATTCTGCTTAATTACTTCCAAACCTCCATCCTTTCACGGCCTCACTTCCAAGGGCATGTTTTTACCCTCTCTCCCCATTTCCTTTCCTTAACCCCCGCACCCCCCCGCCCCAGCCCTGAGATCTTGCTCCATCTTGTCCTTCTACAGCTACTAACTTTGACAAACCTCAAACTCTGTATTTTGACTCACATTTTCATTGACCTCTTTGTGGCATTTGAGAATTCCTCAAAAATTTCTTCCTTGTTTTCCTTGATTCCAATGATAGACTACTACTTTGGTTCTTTTCCTACTTCTCTGATCTAGGTAGTTGTTTCCTTCCCCAACTCTCTCCCCAGGTCAGGCCCACATCCTAGATTCAGCCATCGGTTCTTTGCTTCCAGAACCTTGGGGCTCATTCACTCATCATTAATTACTGAGTTTCTACTGAGCTAGATGTTGGAGCTACAAAGTCAACTAAGACATAGCCCCTGACCTCAAAGAGATTAGAGTCCAGGGATAAACAAGGAGACCAGATGATTACACTTCCAGGGGATAAATGCCATGACAGAGGAGAACGTGGGATTTTAGAATGAAGCAGGCATGGGCATCCATCAGACTGAGGGAAGCAGAGATACGTGCAATTAACAGTGTTACCCAGAGACTTGACAGAACACCATAGAATATTTCCTACTATTTTCTTACATATTCAAAAATTTTCAAAGCAGAAATACTAAGCTACGTGTGAGATTTCACTTTTATTTTTTTCCTAACAGCTTTACTGAGATACAATTCACATACCGTACAGTTTACTCACTCAAAGCAAACAATTCAAGGGAGAGTTGTGTAATCATCACATTTTCGACTTTCTCCCATTTTTACGTATGAGGAAACAACGAGACATTAAGGGAACTTGCTTCGTCACCCCTAACCAGCTGAGCGGGTGCCCTGCAGGGGCTGTCAGGAGCTAAGGGGCCTGGCCTGGACTCCCTGCATGAGGCTAGACCGGTCACCTGGCGGTGGATGGTGTAGCAGTTAAACACGCACCTGCGCTGGGTTAGACTTGGCTTCAAGGCTTGGTTTTGCTACAGGCTGTGCAACCTTTGGTAAAACCTCTTGGGAGTCTTGGTTTCCTCACTGCAACATGAGGGCAATTCAGGAAGTGAGGAGGCTGACTCACCTGTAAGATCGCTCCCAGCTACTTAATTCCCAACTTCAGTGACGGGAAAAACATAATTAAAAATAAATTCCTGAGTATCCAGTACAAGAGGGATCCGAATTCCCTGAAGACAGAGGCTTGCATGCTTCCCTCGTGCTCTGAGCACCTGGCACAGGTCTCAGCGGTTCCTCACCGACTGGCCTTGGCCAGGTGGGACAGAAATGCGTGAAATGACCCTTCCAAAGGCGGAGAAGGGTGGGAGAAGTTGGGGGTGCGGGGGGCAGCGGAAGCAGCAGGCCTTGGGATGGTCTGCCCAGGAGTGGACGGCGGCCCTGCGGGTGTAACTGGGGTGGCAGGGATTGCGGGGTTTTCTTTTAGAACAAACTTTCGTAGACATGAGAAATGCCACCAGGAATGCAGCCAACAGCACTTGCAGATCATTGCTTGGAACATCAGCAAGGTCGCAAATCCAGTCTCCAAACACGGCAGACAGCACAGAGGGTTACCCAATCCCATATTCACAGCCTAAGAGCTTTCAAATAGTTTACTTTCAAGAGAGGAATCATGAATCTGACTAATAGTGAGCTAAAACAAAACGCATGGAAAGGCAAATGAGTATTTTATAATACAGGCTAGAAGGATGTTGTGTGTGTCTGGGTTTAAGACAAGAAAAAGCACAGCGCAGTCTGAAAGAGGGGTGAACTTGGGGATAAAGGTAGTCCCATATTTTCCCCTTACCATCCAGGCCCACTGTCTCCAGAGTTCAGTGGCTTTCTGCCTGTGGAGTGCCTCAGGACCCCCAGGGAACTTGAGAAGGTACCGGGGCCAACCCCAGATATACAGGATCATGGTCCCTACCTCGTGCCACGTGGGCAAGTCGGCTGGTGAGCTCCTGCTTCGGCCTCTGTGTATACGGTCCTAACCCTTCACGATGGCAGATGGCCGGCCTAGGAAGGGACAGCCTGGGACAGAGCTGTGATGCCCCTCAGGTAGACTCTGTCCGCCTCCCTCACAGAACCCGCTTCCTCTCCCTGAGCTAACTGCGTCTCTTTCCTCCAACCCGGCTGGTCCATGACTGGTTAAAACTTTAACTGACCTCAACTTTTTTACTGGAAGCTGAGTACAGAAGAGCACACAAGTCTTAATTACCCGGCTCAGTGACTTTTCCCAACAGGCACATAGCTGTGTAACCAAGCACCCAGATCAAGCAGCAGAACAGCATCTGCACATCAGAAGCCTCTCTCCACGGGAACTGTTATCTTGACCTCTAACACTGTAAATTAGCTTGGCTGCTTTGAAATGTATATGGACACAATCATAGTTTGTACTCTTTTGTGTCTTCTTTTGCGCAATACTTTTTTTGCAAGATTCATTCGTGTTGATACACAAAAGCAATAGTCTGTTCATTTACTCCTTCCATCCTGTGCATGGAACACAGTGGCTATTTAACTGCTGATGCACATTTAGCTTATTTCCAATTTGAAGCTATTACAAACAGACCGCTGTAAAAATTCCTATGCTTGTCATCTGGTGAACATACGTGTGGCGGCTTTGTAATGCGTCAGCCTGGCTGGGCTGAACCATGCTGCTCAGAATTCCCTTCCTCATATGTTTCCTGGTGAGACAGGCAATGCGGAAAGGAAGCGGTACGTATATCGTATTCACTCAGAGGGCTGGTACAGAAGCGTCGGGCACCTCACGTGCATTGTGGCTCATCTGCAGGCCACCTCGACTGGGGGCGGGTGGCGAGGTGGCAGCCAAGCCTGTAAATGCTGGACCCACCCCTGGATCCTCTCTCACCTTCTCTGACTCCTAAGCCAGGTGTGTGTTTAGTTCCATAACGAAGGGCATCGGCTTCATTGGGACACCCACATCATTAAAGCTGGAGGCAGACTGACCTGGGTTCCTGTACATCCTCATGGGTGTCAGCTTCTCTCCATCTTCCCAACCATACTCTCTTCTTCCATGACTGCCCGCCCGGTAGAGTTCAAGCTCCATCATCAGGCGGAAAGACAGCAGCTTCACACAGCCTATCTAGCCAGCTCCCACAACTGGGTAAGATCAAATTCTTGCAATAAATCCCTTCAGACATCTCCTAGTGGTTCTGTTTCTTTGATTAAACTTTGACTGACATAATATGCACACATTTCTGTTGACAACATCCCTAGGAGTAGAACTACTGTAAAAATGTCTACATCACTAGAAACTAAGAAACCTTTAATAATTCCCAAAGCAGTGTTTCCCAAAGCTTATGCTAATAGGGCTTCTGCGAAAAAGAAAACAAATTTTTAAAAAAGAAATCTTGGCCAAATTATCTCAGGTTAAACAAGGACAGACACACGTCTCTACTGGAGAACTTCTCAGAGGCTTTAATACGTTACTCTGCATTGTGAATTTCTGAGACCTTAATGTTTCCAAAATTTTTTGCCCAATTAACCTATTTTTAAGAAGCATCCTAAGGGACTAATTTTATAGAGGGCATTTTTTTTTTAAAGAAAATATGCTAGTATACAAGAGGATGCAAGTTGACCTCAGTATCCACTCTTCCTTTCTTACACAGAATATCCTATATTTAGCCAGGCACTTGGCCTTTCAAATGGCAACTATGTTTCTCAGTACTTTCTTGCACGTAGGTAAGGCTACATGAGTCAGTCCTGGCCAGTGGGATCCAGACAGAAGTGAGGTTTCTAGTTGCCAAGAAGTACCTCAAAGGGAGGGAGTATGCTGCCCCTTCCTCCATCCTGCTGCCTGGGATGTGGATGTGGTGACGAGTCGTCACGAATCTAGGTCCCCGGATGAGCCCATGGATCTGAGCCAGCCTTTCCGCCCTAGGCCAGCTATCTCCTGTTGCATGGAAGAGAAATCGACTCCTATCTTGATGAAGCTGCTGTTCATTTGGGTGCCTGGGATTCACGGCCAATTCCCCATGTTACTCAATACAACTGACCTGTAGAATGAAGCCCCCATTCCTCAGCCTGGTTCTCAAAGACACCATCCTTGCTCCTTTGTGCCTGTCCAATCCTCACTGTACAGAAACTCAAAGACTCAGACAGAGGGAAATGACATCCTGGTAGTGACATTCTTATCTTCTAGATGGACGCAAGTCCCTCGGGGGAAAGTTCCATAGGGGCGGGCTGGTGGATCATGGAATGAACACCTGCTCCGGAACACAGCTCTGGGAATAGTTCTCTTTATCTTGAAGGAAGGATGCTTCTGCTGACACACTCCTTCAATGAAAGGAAAGTAGATGAAGCTACTCTGGTCCTCACCCCAGAAAACATAATCACTGTCTAAGATGTCTATCTCCACAGGAGAAGGGACTCCTTCAAGACAGGAACTTTGCTTGTTTATCTTCAGATCCTAACACAGCACACTGCTTAGCCCAGGACTGGTATTAAAAATAATAATAAAGAGGTGCCTGGGTGGCTCAGTCGTTGGGCGTCTGCCTTCGGCTCAGGTCATGGTCCCAGGGTCCTGGGATCGAGCCCCGCATCGGGCTCCCTGCTCGGCGGGAAGCCTGCTTCTCCCTCTTCCACTCCCCCAGCTTGTGTTCCCTCTCTTACTGAGTCTCTGTCAAATAAATAAATAA